TTTACATTTCAAATTAGATCACAAAGTTATATCGGTTAGAGAACCATTGAAACCCAAGGAGAACTAGACAGATGTTTCGTCCTATTCTCAGACTTTTCAATAGCACTCATCCTTAAGTCTACCGATCTAAGCTTGTTCACCATTCAACTGATGACATGAAATCAAATGACCTATGGAATTCTAACCTCTATCAAGTGGTATATAAATAAAATAACAGTCTATGTTTACATTAAATCACTATAGTTTCACATTATATACACTTTGAAGTGTTTTCTATTTTCATTGCTATTGTTAGAGAACGCCTACACTGTTTATCATATTACAATGACTAAGTGTGCTTCTGTCTCTTTCTCTCTCTAGAAGATGCAATAAAAATGCTACAAAGAAATCAAATAGATTTGTTTTGTAATATGCCACCTACATACCCATTGAATTGAGAATGTCTTATATTTCCTCTTATAATCATTCTTCTATTTTTTTTTCACATACTTCTTCCAATGAACCACATGAAAATTATACAATTATTGCTTAATTAGTTCAGCTTAAATAAAATATTATTTTTAGTAATTATACAACCAAAAATAGAATTTTTGAACACTGAATTGATGATTTATATTATCATTTATCATGAGGGGTACAACATTTCAAAAAGGCAACAGTAAATGAATGTATAGTTTTACGATAGAAAGCAATACACTGATATTTCAAAATCTTCATTTTTCGTTTCCGTCAAGTTCTTAGATTAAGAAAATTTATATAGTTTGGTAAAAATAAAAATTAACTTGATGCATCATATGTTGATGGATTCGACAGTTAATTATCAGACTGCTTTGATAAAGTTTCACAGTGTTATACAGTAATATTTACTGATGACGTTTGGAACACAATTTATTACTGCTCATAATCATATCAAGGCACTACTTACACAAGTTTCTCACTTCGTTTATATAATTCCATTATTTTCCATCGCTTGATTTGATTGGTAGTAGTATTTTCCATATTTTCGGTATGAGTGATGAGTCATTCATATTCCAAGTGTTTGGTGAACACTCGATGAACAAAGATTCAGTAATCAACCTCTCTCCCTGCCTACCTATATTACTTCTTAGAATTTTAACCCTCTCCCACCCTATTGTGTGGTTGTGTGTTAATGCATGCAGTGCATTTGCTGAACGTTTTTCTAAATTACTTATCTTCTCAGGGTCAACCATTCCCACCTTAGCTAAATTCTTATGTTCCGACAATCTGACTACCCCGACCTACTGGTTTGACCTTTGTAGTTGACTTAACTCATGGTCATTGCAGGGTATTTTGTAAATTATATTATTTTGTCTGACTGAGTCAACCTATAGGGTCCTGTAACCTACAGAGCTTGTTGCCGAGTGTTTGTAGGTTGAAGCGCCACCCTAATTCCTGCTTTATTGAGAATCCTACGTAGGCCTAAAATGTCACCTCCTTATATAGTTTAACATTAGATGCCTAGAATTCTCTCTTATTTATGTTATCATTACTAGTTTCGCAATTATTTCTTTTGCTTTTGGCCTTTTCTGATCTTCCTGATGAATTTTATAGGATAGTTATTTGATGCCAACGCTTTTTCTGTCTATTTTATTTCATCATTTAGGTCTTTTTTTTGTACTACTTAGTGCTATTGCTTAGACACTTAACTAAGCCTGCCTTAACAGTTAACGGATGAGGTGAATTAAAGTCTAAATGACTATTAGAATGTGTTGACTTTTTATAAACACTAGTGGGCAGTTTATCTTCTTCTATTCGTTTTATTTTGCAATCTAACATGATAGTTAATTCTCCTTGTTCATTTTCCGATTCAAATGTGAATTTTATTCCGTTTACTAGTGAGTTTATATGCGTCAAGAAGCTAGAGATTTGTTTTGTTTTTAACACCGTGAAGGCGTCATCCACGTATCTTCACCATATTTTTGGAGTGGGATGGAATGTATGAAGAGCAATATTTTCTCAGCTGTCCATAAATATATCTGCTACGATAGGGGATATTTATTCCGTACTAAAGATGAGATGTCCAGAAAAGATTAGAAATAAGAAACCCTGGCCACGAATCAACCAAGAATCTGTTGCCCAGCAAATTTGTTGAGGAAAATGAGGGTGGATTAGGCACACACTGAGAAGATTATCGAATGACATTCCATGGAGTGGACTGTTAATGGGAAACGATGAATCAGGCGTTGGTGCGAGGATCACATGGAGGAAGTTGTCTGTGAAAGCTTATAGGCAATCCTGAAGGCAAGTAGAAACGACCTCAGAGAACAGAGTGGAATGACTATATCGTGCTAAAAGCGTATGCTTTACGTAGAAATCAAGTTAATAATAATAATTCACTGTCCGTGAGGATAATTATAGATGGCTAGCGTATTCTATGTTATTGACCATCAAGTTTATTGGTAAAAGGTTATGTCATCTATTGATTTATTCCTGACACTGAATGATTCATCGAATTCATCTCTTACGCATCGGATGTTTGTATCGAAACTTGTACAATGTATTGAAGGAATAATGATTCAGTGTCTGAAACACTGTTCAATTTACACTTGTGATGTCATTTATACTTATTGTGAAGCATACAATATATGACTATTGCATATCTCAACATAAATAGTATTTCAAGTATGCGAAATGTTTCCGGTGAGATGCAACCTACATTTTACTTACTCAAGATCTGATTGACAGCGTCGTAAAATAACCATGCATATGCTATATATATAAACTTACATACACTTACATACACATATAAGCTTTATTACTTTGCTCAATTTTTCAATATTTTTTGTCAATTTTTTCATTGCATTCATTAGGCCCTTGATCATACTTAATTTTATTGAGACTGTCTTCAGACTGTCGGATGTGAGACAAGATGTCAGCTCATTACTATAAATCGTTATTTTATTAACATTTCTAACAAATCTTTTGCATTTTAATCGTTCCTGTTTCTGAAAACCACATTGGAAACAGATGGTTAGGAACCAGGTTTAAGTTTTCTTAATTTAAACTTGTCGAAAAATTCGTCTGTTTTTATCAAGGAATTGTAAACATTTCCCTGTTTACTGAGACCACCTATCTCGAGAAAACTTTTTTTAATGCCACAGTAAAATATGAAAATGTATCTTACAATGTGAGGAATTAAACACAAAAATTTATTTAGTCTTACAACGAATTTTACTTTGATCTTTATGATATTTTTTGTAAACAGGCAAATGTAACTATCGATTCTGCTTTCTGGTAGCCATTTTTTATTTCATGCATTCTTATACATTCTCTCAAAATTATGTCTTGCTTGCTTGTAGTTTTGACTGTTTCTTACGATGAGTGTAACTTCATCATTAGTAGAAAATGCTGCAGTCTACATCTTTTCAGCATTCAGGAACTTTTCGCCTCATTACATGAAAGTAACCATAAAGCGTTTAAAAAAAATCATTTTTATTCCTTGGCGTTCCCAGTGGAACACAGGACTTCAATTCTTTGTTTTAAAGTTTCAATAACAGTGGTGTTACTTTTCACGGGATGTAGTTACTAGCCTCACACCCAACCTACCCTCTTTGTTGGGATTATAACCAGCTAAGGTAGGTGTGGGTGTGCGCCGACCGGGACTCTAGACCCGGACCACGTGTATGGTCAGCCATCACGTCGGTGGTACAGACGTGGTTCAGGGTTCGATTCCCGGCCGACACTCCTTTAATTCGCCAAGCCAGTAATAAGAGTGGTAAAGAGGGGAGGTTGGGCAGAGGCTAGCAACCCCGTCCTGTAAAAAAAAATTAACACCCCTGATACCGAAACTTCAAAGCTCTAACTTGAAACCGGCTATCATTAAAATGCACCCTACATCATTGTTTTTTAAATAAAAATATGGGAATGATTTATTTTTGGTTTGATGACATACAATTCAGTAAGTGATATGTGAAAAAAATGAGAATGTTGTGTTTGTAAGATTGTTGTCTGGTGATGAATGGCAATGAGAACCTGAGTAATTTCATAATAATAATAAACGTAATAATAATTTGCTTTATTCCAAAACAGTACTTGTGATACAGAATGGAATTCTCAGCATTTCACTACAATATTGCATCCAGTTAGTACATTAACAATAAATAAAATTCTACATAGACCAAGGGTAATCTCAGTTAGTTTTGACAGCAACATATTGGCATGTTGGTAGCAAAGCCAAAATTGAACAGAGTGTTTGAAGGTGTTAGAGAGTTAGATGCTGGCATATTTACTGGCGTAAGCAGTAACAAAAACGTCGAGATATACAGAGTGTGAAAGAACGAAGAAGAATGTTTTAAATAGTTTGTAAGGAAGAAAGAAAGAAAAACGCTGTACCTATAAATGATATGAGTTGGAAAGAAGAGATCCAGTTGTTCTACTGATTGTTTAATAAGTTATAGGTTTCGCACAGAACACAAGCTAAGTAGGGTATGGTTGAGTTTTTGTATTTGCTAGAGCGAGCATATAGTTTTCTATATAGGCTTTTGGTTTTGACTGATGAGTTACAAGGGGAGAGCTGTGAATGGAGAGGGTGATATGAGTTGGATAAAATGGATTTAGTCCATTTTTCGCATGGGTCCAAGTGCCTGTCGACCAGAATATTTACAAGTTGGTTAAGTGGCTCGTTGTTTACCCTGCTGAAAACCTTTAACATCCTACATAATAAGATATAGTCCTTCTTCAGTAGCCCTGAAAAACAAAGGTGGAACAATAGAGAATAATAGGCAGGATGCAAGAGTTAATGAATCGTAGGAGTATGGTTTGGGTTTTTCCAGAATATCCTAACTTCTTGACGTAGAAGTTAAGACGGAATATTTTCTTAGAAATCATCGAGATATGAGACGACCAGGAGAGATCAGCAGATAGAATGACGCCAAGATATTTAATTTCCCACTTGATCTCTATTTCAGTGCCATTTCAATTTGAAAGTCACTTCCAACTATTTCTCAATTTCATCCCCTTTCTTCATTCATTTTTTACAGGGCATTTATTAAAAACATTTATCCAGCTAAAAAGAATCTGGTAATGATTGTCAGCAATGGACAGGTAAATGTTTTTGATATTTATAAACTCTTTCCATAAGTGTTATTGTGTTGTAAGAATTGGACAGAATTTGAGAAAGTAAGAGCAATTATAATCTAATAAAGTGGGTCAGGAGTTTTATAATTTATATAGGTAAACGTTATTGTGTTAACATACACTTCACTTATGATCTTTGGTGTGCAATTCAAGCGCTATAAGCCATAAGAAAAAGATTACTCTCTCAATTATTTTTTGATCATAAACGATTTTATGGATGTTGATTCGTGACATACTACTCATCTATAGATCCATTTTTACATGAAGTTAAAGTTGTCATAGGTCCTATAGAGAATCAACCGCCTTTCTTCTATTTATAACCTTTTTGGGTTACATCATGTCTGTCCAATGGTACAGCACCAGGAGTAATAATATTCTTCTTACACGAAACCTTGTTAATTCTACTCCTGTATTCAGGGTGCACAGATCATGTGTTGTGTAGACAAAGTTTCGAAATAGTGGGAAGTATGCTCAGTGGGTTGATCTTCATTTGTAAGATTAGTTGAATAGTTTGTGACAAAACATCTGACACCGCTCTTCTTCTTGCATTATGACAGTTAGCATTTCATATTACTTAGCATTTGCGTGGATTCACTAATTCATCTCTCTCTCTCTCTCTCTCTCTCTATATATATATATATATATATCGCACTTCATGCCTAAGAGATTGGAAAATAATAGTGGATTGGAAAAAAAGGTATCGTTTAACCGCTTTTATGCTTTCAGACTGCTTCTAGGAAAAAGTTCCATATCCATTTATTGATAACAGTCTGTGTTAAAGAGTGTTACACATAGAATTGAAAAATTCAAGTGTCCAAAATCTGGGCCTTTTTAATATGAAATTCTAACTGTCGTTACTCATTCGATATCATATTTAGTATATATATTTTTTCCTTCACGTTCCCCAGTGGAACATAGGGCTTCAAGCTGGGGGCTTGAAGTTTCTGTAGCAGTGTTTATTTTTACAGGATGGGGTTGCTAGTCTCATGCCCAACCTTTCTTCTCTACTAGCATTATTTCTGGCTTAGCGAGGTAAAGGAGTGTGTCGGCAGGGGATCTAACCCTGGACCATGTGCATGGTCGGCGAGCGTCCTAACCGCTATGCCACTGATACACACATTCAGTCTATTAATTAGCTATAATCGGGATGTCGCCTTTTAGGTTCGATGTTTTAGCTCCTAATCTACCTGAAATCCTAATTTAACATCTGACTTGAACTTTTCCACTTGACCTTAAAGTGTTGGATTTCAACATCTCCAAAAAATTTTCAATTAGGAGAGAGTGAAAAGTCAGACGCTGTTATTAAATGCAACCCTGTAAATGTGATAATGTTAATCTCATCTGTTTTACCAAAAGTTAATTTTAATAACTGAAATAAGAAAAAATAATTTCGGCAGTTTCAAAATGAATTCTAGTGACTTTTACAAAGTTCACTTGACAACTTAGCGGCAGTGTTTAAAAGACACTGTGTTGATCTTTGTTTTGACAAAAAACAACCCACTTAATTAAAAAAGTTTTTCATTGACACTTAATTAGTTTATTGTATTTATGATTTTCAGTACAATAACTATGCTAACGGTCTTGTTAAATATACACTAAGTTCTAAGTGTTCTCCATTAGATAAAAGCCATGTGAATGACAACTTTTAGAGTAGTGAGACTTTTTGCATCTCACCTTTGATTATTGTAAATTGGTTTTGTTTTTTGGATAAACAGTATTATTTTAGATAAGTGATACTCATAACTATATATAAATTTTCAAGAGTCGATTTGTAAGGATTCGATTTGCTTATAAGAGTTTGACCGCGGATTAATATCATTTAGGAGAACCATTGAAAATTAGCCGGGAGTACTAGACAACTGTTTCAAACTTGTTTAGGAATCGTCGGCATTACTTGGTTGTCGTGATAAAACCACTAATTGGTAGGAGTTAGAATTCACGGGCTGGTCATTAAATTGGGTTCCAGTGGTTGAATGATATGAGAGCTTACCTTGAACCGGAAGGCGCTCGGTTCGAAGCCTTTCAGTGGGTACGTACTGACGATGATTTCCAAAGTAAAATGAAATAACTGTCCAATATTTCCTTGGTTTTCAATGGTTCTCTAAATGACATCTATAAGTTATTGAATACGAAATGGCTTTATCAAGATATTAAACGTTTAGTATGTCTTAAGATATTCAAATGTATCTACTCTTTTAAACCATGAAATATGCATTCATAGATAAGAAATTAACTGTTAATTTGTTCTTTATCAATATAATTTTAGTCTGAAGAAAAGGATCTAGTTCTTGGCTTCAAGTGTAAATCATGTTCTGAGGCAAAAACTCTTTGTATGCGTGCACTCAACTGTAAAACATTTAAAGAGTAAGTAAACTGTCGGTATATTATAAGTATTAATAATGCTTTCTACCTTCTGTAACATATAATGTTTTTAGTGAAGTCTTCACTGATTTTTCATAAAGACAAATCTGACTGATAAAAAGAAACGTAAGCACTGGAAATGCACGCCCATTAGAGGTTTGAGTTTGCAAACGGTTTAGCTTCTAGCTACACACATATCTAATCATACAATATAATGTACAATGTGGAAGCGCTATTATAGTCAGGTCAGTGGTTCTATATGGTCCAGAGACTTGTCGCACTAACAAAAGCATTTCCAGCTGCCTTCTTAGTGAAGGACAGGTAGCTGGCGAGGAAGCAATACCAACTAACCAAACAAGAAACCACTTCTCAGCAAATATGCTGGAAAAAATGGGGGTAGATTAGACACTTGCCGAGGAAACCGTTGAGAGATATCATGTGCTAGGCACGCCCTAGAGTGGAACCCGAATGGAAAACGACGAGTTGGGCGTCCAAGGTAGACATGGAAAAGATTGTGTGAAGGAGAGTTGAGAGTTGACGGTCAATAGTGAAGCCAGCTAAAGAGGGTAGCAGAGGACAGAGTGAAACAGAAATGGGCTGTTGAAGCCTAATGTCCTACTTCTAACTCGAGAGAATAATAATATCAATAATATCACATGTATACATATCATAGAGTCAACGGAAGAAGAGTAAGGTCATATGTATTGCCTAACCAGGAGAAATTTATTAACTAAGATTAAAAATTATAAGAGCGCTTAATAATTTCAGATAAATACAAGATGAATAGCTGTTGTTATGAGCTATATAACAATGCGGAAAAATGGAGATTTATATCTCAGGTGGATGATTTCAGTATTGTTTGGTACTCTGAGATTTCAATGGCACCATCTACAGGCAAAAGGATGGTAGTACAATGGTTTCTCCCTCAGGTTCACAACTATTAGACTGTTTCTTGACAAGCCTCAAGAAAGACTTATTAAAATCTGCAGTCTAGAACTGTATGAAAATGACATTTGATTAAATCCCTTGTCGCTCAGATCCTACGCTTCTGTGGTCCTGATGCCCCACAAGGGGAAGTGGATCTCCTGAAACATATCTTCCAAAATGGAGAAGAATATCAAACCAAAAGTTCAGAGGAACGAAACATTATTTGTTCCAAAACTGAAACTTTACATGGACCTGGATTTCAAGGGGGCGGGCAGTCTGCGATATTTTCGAGAGAAGAACATCACCATCTTTGAGAAGAGTATTCTTCTCAGAAAGGCTAAGATTAGTGTTCTCTAATCGACCATTGGTCTTAAGTAGTCTCAAGGACAAGGTCTAGCATCTGACCACATATGTGTGAATATATCAGTTCACTTAATTTCGTAGAGCCAGGTATATTGGTGGTTCGACACGCATCCTATTTAAAAGGGTTCAAAAACATTCTTCCGCATGGTTGCAGAAAGGCACTAGTGGTTCTATGAGGAGTGCGATAATCGGACACCTTGTCAATACTGGTCATTTCATTTCAACAAGTGACTTCTCTACAAATCTAAGAGTAACATGCCAAAGGCGATACTCCCTCCCCACCTTTGCACTTCTGAATCTCTAGTCATGCATACAAAAGAACGTTATTTAACCATTTCTACTATCATAGTAACAATCTACTGGTTTGAGATTTTCTTGTTTGTTTTTCTAACTCCTTATAACTCTTACATTTCTTTAGAGCTCTCAAATAATTCCATATTTCCCTTTGTTCCTATATCAATCCTGATTTGAACTCACTCATTAAATTACTGGTCTTATTACGTAACTTTGACACATGTATTTAACTCCTCTTATGCATGGAGCATTGTTAACAACTGTGATTGTGACAATTCACCACTTTTGTTGCTACCCTTTCTCATGAAAAATTGTATGTTAGGCCGATTGTGAAGCTTAGTGAATGAATTTGTCGAGAAGAGTCTCTTCCATGAACAATGTGTTTTGTTTGTAAGCTTCAGAATTATCTTGGTATCAGATCTCTAAGAAATTCAATGATATTGTAACAGCGGAAGACAAGGGCCAGTCAACAGATTGCTTATTAAGAGAATCAACAGATATTTATAGATTTGCATGCACATTATTATAGATTATTGTAGGTGAACAAACACAGTCTTCTGATTGGTGGTTTCTCGTTGAACGTTAATCTTTCATCTCTTTGTGGCCGTTTCTTGAAGTTTAGATTATCTATCTGTAAATTGTATCCGCCTACGCAAAGTCTACTGTGATTGGTTGTTGAATCAGTCTTTGTTCTTATTTTTTGCATAACCAATATTGGGGACGTACACATTGACGTAAATAACTGTCCTCCAATTCTGCTAGCAGCCAGCTCTCATCACAGTATTATTGGCGATTTCTTCGTCTGGGTTATGAAGATTTTCTCAATGGAATCGGTGTTTATATTTGCCTTTATACATCGATATAGAGGAGCAATTATTACGTCTTTCGACAGCTACTTTCTGTTTGTGGATTAATGACTCATGACGTGTTTTCATTTCAGTGATCAGATGTATCCTTAGATGACATGGACACCTATTGGATCACTCTTGTCGGGACTGATTGCTGAAGGTGCTATGGAAAGTGGTGTAATCATGAATAACGAATGAGTAGTGAAAAATCATAAGTAACCTAAGTAACTGTGCGTCGGTTGCGCAGTGGTTAGGACTCTCGCCGACCATGCACATGATCCAGAGTTCGATCCCCTGCCGACGCACACCTGATATCTATGATCGGCCTGCAGAATTTGGGCTACCGATATCACATGCTGAAAATTCCATACCTGTACCAAAAATAAGGTGTGGAATCGAGCTGTGATAAAAAAAACAACTAACGAATAAGATATGTCTTATCATTTAATGCTTGAACCTTTACTTTGCAGTATTGCTATATTATTATTATTATTACTACGTGTGGCATTAAAAGATTTCAAAACTTGACATTTTTCCTAAGTCTTTTATATACACATTTTCAGAGCTAATACTTTCTCATATTTGTATCTATAGAATGCAAATAGAAGAAATGTCTTTTATTGCTCAATCTTTTAGAACATCAAGTATTTTAAATTATAGGTAAGTTGTACATAATTATAGACTAACTACCTGTTCACTGAATTTTTAACTGATATATATTCTAACTAGTTATTTTAAAAGTCTGACTAATTTAATCTAAGCATATGATTGATGTAACTCTTGGGGGGCTTTTCTTCAGATTTCCTGACAACTTTTAGCATTAAATAACACATAAATCACATACCTGCTCAATTCATCATATCGATAATTTTTTAATTAATTATTACATAGTTTACATATATCAATATATGATGACTTGTGAACACTAATGATCACGGAAATTCAAATATGAGCCTTTAATTTTCAGTGGCAGTGGTTTTATGGTCTTTTACAGTATGCAGTGTTGTTAGCTTCACACCCAACCTTCCCTATATATGCCTTACTACCAGTGAATTCAGGTGTAGGGGTGTGTTGGTTGGGAATCGAACCCAGACTATGTGTGTGTGTGGTTGCCGAGAATTTTACCACTGAATTGTCAACACACAAAAAACTTCCTCAATTAATTGAAGTCCGTTTTCCGTTTATATTAGGGGCAACAGTAAAGAAAAGACACCAACTTCAGACGACCTTGAAACGACCAATCCGATTCTTCTGGTTGAAAAGTGGTGCTTAATTTACAAAGAAGTGTATCTGCGATATATGTAATAAAAATGAATCATATAGGGTATATATCTCTGATATGCTGCGAAAACTGGTTCCAGATTCTCATAGAAGTGATCATAGACATATCAAACCAATGTATTCTCTATTCCTCCTGCTGTAGCAGATACTGGTTGCATACACACAATATATTATTAAGGGAGAGCTTTGATTCTCAGAAGAAAGTGTCTAAAAGATCACTAGTTATGTACGACTTACCAACTTATACAAACTTCCTCATATAAAGTGGTTGCATCTGAATGTATAACCATCAGTAGCCCGGCAATACTTTTCCGGAGTTATTATCCCTCCACACATGCATGTTTTATTCCTCCCTATCAACACATTTTCCAGAGAGAAGTCAAAAACCAAATCTAGGAGGTACTTTCAAAGAGAATTATAACTAGTAACCATTTGTAATGATTATCTGTCTGACTGGTCAAATCAAGGTCATTTAACTTTGGTGTCTATTGTTTACTCTTGCCATATTAGGTTAAGTATTATGACATGTCTTCTCTTATGGTAGCCATATTGCAAAGTTTGATCGATGTAGTTTAATAGGTGGCTAAGGCAGAGAAAACAACAGCTAACATTCTATAGCCGCTAATTGATACATACACTCTCTATATTACAGTGGATAGACTGTAATGACAAAAACCGGTACGTTGTGGTCTGGATGCAAGGAACCGATCTTTGCGTCCTACTGTGTATGTGATATAAATTCGCTGAGAGACACACAGTGGCGAGACGCTCAAAAGACAGCAGAAAGATGGTTATCCGTGGTTGAATCTATGGTTCTATAGTATCAAAAACTCAAATTTCACCTCAACAGTTAAGTTAGCCAGCTATACGGAAAAGAGATCTAGTACAAAAAGAGTACTTTAGAACAAGATTAGTTAGCCAAAGTTCAACCCTCATAAGTATGTGGGATTAAGTAGAATTGTAACAACAGAAGACAAGGGCCAGTCAACAGATTGTTTATTAAGAAAATCAACAGATATTTATAGATTTTCATGCACATTATTATAGATTATTGTAGGTGAACAAACACAGTCTTCTGATTGGTGGTTTCTCGTTGAACGTTAATCTTTCATCTCTTTGTGGCCGTTTCTTGAAGTTTAGATTATCTATCTGTAAATTGTATCCGCCTACGCAAAGTCTACTGTGATTGGTTGTTGAATCAGTCTTTGTTCTTATTTTTTGCATAACCAATATTGGGGACGTACACACTGACGTAAATCACTGTCTACCAATTATGTCTACCAGCCACCTCTCACCACAGAATAATCTCAGAGAGGAGAGGTTTAAAAACTGTCCACCAAAATTGCACACCAACAGTTCCTGCAATCACTTTAAAGTCAGAATGACCTTGATTCACTCGAATAAAATCGTGTCGTAAATAAAACATTATCAATAACATCACACAACCGCAATGAGAAGCATAAAATGTAGATATTAAACAGGGACAAAGAGAAATAATAAGGACCAAGCTAACAAATGATATGCAAACGTCAGCACAATGATATAAACTATAGTAGGAAAACGGATAATAATAATACCAAATTTAGTTGAAACATCCAAATACGTATAAATATCGTAATTAAATCGTTCAGGGTGGATCTTCGAAATAGTTATTCAGTTACACGAACTTCTCAGAATTTAACATTATTATATTTAGAGGTACAGCAACAACTTTGTCACAATATATTCGTTACATTAGGCAGTCTCAATGTTAGAGTTATTTACTTTCACCTTTGTGTCCTTCGATTTATTTAACCATAAGTATATAAGTCATGAATAGATATATTCATGCCTTGTTTCTAAGACTCTCTGTCTGTCTGTTTTCGACATAGAACTTTGCACAAATGTGCGGAAGTTCAAGTCGCCACATTCCGTGTAGCACGCGAAGCAAGAGAAGAAAGTACAAGAAAAGCATAATAGAAACAGTGAGCAGAGGTGTGAGACAAAGGAGTAATAAAGAAATACAAAACAGTTTCATTGAAGATCATAAGTCACAGGGAGTGGATGCATCTGCGCCACTGAGAACGATTTTGAGCCATGTCACCAATTGTTTCCAACCATAGATTTTTACCGTCCCGAGGACCCCAGCCTGGAAGTCTACACCTTCCTACGTGGCTTAGACCAACTGTTGTGGATTTCATTGACTGATGCCAAGTTTTTGTTTGACCGCCGCTAGCTTTTTTCCAGCCTGACCCTATATCCGCTAACATAGCTCGTCGAGGGAGGCGATGACTTGGCATACGTAACACATGTCCTAACCATCTCAGTCGATGTAGCTTCACGACTTCGTCGATTGATTTCCCCTGTTTACCTAGAACTCTACGCCTAACCTCCATGTTGCTCACCTTATTATGCCACTTTACACGGGAAATAGAACGCAGGCACCTATGATCAAAGACAGCTAGTCTTTTCATGTCTTCCACTCTCAGTGGCCAGGTCTCACAACCATAAAGGAGGACGGAGCGGACTGATGAGCAGTACACCCGCCCTTTGGTCGATAGTCGAACATCTCGTCTACGCCAGAGTCGGCGTAAACTAACAAATGCGAAACGAGCCCCTTGTATTCGTGCTGAGATTTCGTCAGAGATCAGCCCGTTGGGGCTGATGGTACTTCCCAAATAAGTGAAGCGGTCAACGTGCTCTACCACTTCACTTCCTATTTTTAAACTAGGCGTCGATGTAGTCCAGTCCTGTAACATCATCTTGCATTTGGCGGGAGCGAATCGCATGCCAAACATTCGTAGATTGCTGTTCAAGGTGTTTAGAAGACTCTGCATTTTGTCAGCGTCTTCGCCTAGAAGGACTATATCGTCTGCATATTCCAAGTCAACGAGATTATTCCCAGGTAGCAAGTCAATCCCTGAGTCGCTGAAGTCACCTAGGGTTAAGTCCATTAACACATCTATGATGAAGTTGAATAGAAAAGGAGATAATGGGCATCCTTGACGGACACCACTGGTCGTCATCAGTTCAGATGACAGCTCGCCGTAAGCCCTCACCTGGCTGTATGAGTACGAATAGAGTGCCTTAATCAGTGCAATATATTTTCTCGGAATTCCCTTTACAGCCAAGCATCTCCAGAGAACTTCCCGATCGACAGAGTCGAATGCTGCCTTTAGGTCAAGAAATATAATGACTGTTGGACGCCGGTAGGAATGCCTATGTTCTAGAATCTGTCGGAGGGTGAAGATATGATCAATACACCCTCTTCCTGGTCTAAAGCCTGCCTGGCTCTCTCGTGTTTGTGCTTCCCGAGCACCACTCAGTCTACGCATGATTATTGAGCCTAAGACTTTAGATACTATATTAGTCAAGCTAATCCCTCTGTGATTATCACAGGAAGACTTGTCTCCCTTCTTGTATATGGGGATAATCAGTGACTTACACCAACCCGATGGGACTTCTTCTGATTCCCAAACGCTGCCTAGTACCTCAGTTAATCCGGACAGTAAGCTGTCTCCACCGTACTTAAATACCTCTGGCGTTTCTAAGACTATCACTTTATGAGTTATTTTAAGACAGAAAAGTTAGATTTCTTACCACATCAAGTGATGTAACATTCTTTCTTAAAATATATGAACATTTAACATGTAAATGAATTAATTAAATGCAGCGTTATGACAACGTGTGTGTCAAATTCACCAGCAGCTATCCAGATATGTTCTTTAACAATAAACGATCTCATTTATATTACTATCTATCTTGAAAGTAATATGTCGAATACTTTCCTGTGTTTTTTTTACTTTTAACTATATCTACTTTTATTCTTATTTCGAATCTGTAACATCATAGAAACTAATATTGCATAACTCTGTTATGGATAAAATTTTATTTTGATAAAATCAAACAGGGTTATACAGTAATATTGACTGTATTGCCTTGATATGGTTATGAGCAATAATTTGCGCTTGAAACGTCATCAGTAAATATTACTGTATAACAGTAGGTGATTTTATCAAAATAAAATTTTTTCCATAATGGAGTTATACTATACCACAGCACCCAAGTTTTATCCTTATATAAATAATATTATGTATCATAACAAGTACTTTGTTCACTATTTCACTTGATTAACAACGTCATCACCTACAAAGATCTATTTTTTACAAGTCAGATGATTTTCAAATGCAATTATTCGCTTTTTAGATTATGAAATAGTGATTTTGTCAAATAGACAGTGTTTCACCAAAGGTTTTTTTTGGAAAATACCTATAACTTGTGAAAAACACAATGGGTTAAATTAATGTAGCGTTCATGAAAAAAACTTTTAGCGATTTATGTAAAGAAGCAGGGTTAACTCGTTCAACACCTGTTGTCCACTATCAGTGAGGCGTTTCTGTGACGTTGGAGAAAATCGACATTCATCGACCTGAAACAACTGATCTGGAAATCTTCGTCACTCAGCCAGCATCAACAACAAAATTCAGTTGGATTCTCAATACAAACATCAAGTCAGTCAGCTCTTCTATACGGATCGGATCAGAAACTTGACGGGCGGGTCACAAAGAATATTTCCAACAGCCTGTTGCAGACATTTATCAACCAACAACTGTCTTCGCTCTATACTGAAGATCAAATGGCCGGGCCGGAAGGAATCACCAACAAGGAACTATAGGAAAAAAAACAAGAACCAATCGCCAGCCAACAAATATGCAGGAGAAAGTGAAGATGGATTGGACACTCACTCGCTGAGGAGGCATCGCGCTGGGTGACATCGCGCGCGCGTCAGGCCATTGCTCGAGTGGAACCAGGCCGAAAGGGAAGCGGCGGCGAGTGGGACATCAGTGCAAGGGTGACAAGGGTGGAGGAGATCGTGTGAAGAGAGAGGAGATGAAAGAGTATGGACTAACATGGTTGGAGGTGAAAAGTGCAGCAGAAGGAAGGCAGAAGTGGCAAGTGGAGACGTGCAGTTGAAGTCCTATGTTCCACTAGGAACCCAAGGGAAAAATAATAATAATGTAAATGAAAATCTATAAATATTTGTTGATTTTCTTAATAAACGATTTGTTGCCTGGCCCTTGTCTTCTGCTGTTGCACACTATTCCGTATTATATAAGTTTACTTGAAAAAAACCATCGTGACACAGTATTGATTTCTTTAGAACGTCTCGGCCGGTGACAGATAGTAAAGCTAATATCAATCAAGTTAGGAAGTTGTGTGAATACATTGATAGTATTACGTGTAATACCTATTCAAATGGCCATGAATGCAGTGAAAACATGACTAAAAGAAGATGATGGCCTAAAAGATAGGACACACTTATCCGTAGAAGAGATAATAAAAGGGGTTGACTTCTGTCTGATAACAACATATCTTACATTTGGAGGAAAAATATACCAAAAAAATGAAGAAGTAGCTATGGGATCGCCCATCTCACCAATAATAGATGACATATTCATGGATTTTTTGGAAGAGAATGCACTTAAACCATTCAAGTCATCAATAAAGTGTTGGTCGAGATATGCAACGACGCGTTTGTAATAATGAAAAAGAACTGTGTTGAGAAATTCTTCTCACACATAAACAGTCGTGTCGACTCAATAAAATTCACTGTGAAAATAGAGAAGGAAATTGAGGAACTGCCCACGTTAGACTGCAAAATACAAAGAGTAACAAATGGTAGGTAGCGTAAAAACGACGCTAAATAGAAAAACGATACATTCTGGGAGATTCTTTGATTATCACTCAGCTCATCCACTCAGGGTAAAACGAGGATTAATACAAGGTCTTGCAGATAGAATACGTAGACTTACAACAACACCAGATGACCAGCGTAAAAAAATAAATGTCCTATTCAAATGTTACTCGACAACAACCACTCAAAAGAATTTATCAGAGATAATTTAAAAAAGAGGGTAAAACCGGGGAATAACAAGATGGAGGAAGCCAAAAAACAGTCACAATACCATACGAAAATGGTATATCAAAGACAATTCAAACAAACCTCAGGAATATTGGGATTTGCACCACATTTAAACCGACGAATCCAATTAAAAATAAGATAAATCAACTGAGAGATCCCATAAAAATGATGGATAAAAACAATCTGATTTACAAAATATCTTGTGCCGAGTGTCCGACTGGACATGTGAGTCAAACGTACAGATCACTCAAAATAAGAGCGAATGAACATAAACGCCTAACTAAAGGTCAACCAACAGGAACACAAGCTTACAAGAATTTAGGAAAAAATTCATCTATAGCTACACATGCGTGGGACGAAAACCACAATATCGATTGGAACAATGTTTGTGTTCTAAAAAGTAATATGAACAAATGGAGAGAGAGAGATTTATAACGGAATCTATATTCATTAAGGTCATATCGGATCGGTGTAAAAACCTGAAATATATTTAACTGAATTCTTAGATTTCCGCATTGACTGACTGAACTGAAGTGCTTGGTCTCAGTTGACATGTTAGATTCTTATGAAGATGCTTCGACGATGTCTGGGCATGTAATTAGAAGTTAACTGGTGGATAGTGACTAGCAGTGATGGAATCCAGGATGCGCATTTCGTCCCATCTGGGACTCATCATCTGGATGTGCCTGCACTCCCCAGTGAGTGATGCTGTTTCCGCCGGGGCTTGAACCCAGCGCCCATACTTTCAAACGTCAAAGCCTTACACAATTGGGCCACGAGAGCCACCTCTTGTATAACGGGTCATATTAATTTCAATTGAATTTGATCTTTTCCACAATGCTCAAACTTTTTACAGACATTAATAACGAGTAATAAGTTGGTCTGAAAATACCATCCAGTTTTTCATACTGTATCGCTCTGTCTTATATCAAATAAACTTAACTAATATAGAATCAGAAAAGTAGACTGTATTATTGATAAAAATAATGTCCTTGTAAATAAGAGCATGGTTAACGTCACTAATGTTTGATTGGTTGACTATGCGTTCTTCACTTCACTTGCTTTCTTTATATCTAACTTCTTATTATTGAATTATAGTGCAACCTCACCAACGCTCACCAAATTATCCTACAGTTTGATATATTGATCAATACAAGTCATAACTGATTTTCCGTTGTCATATACACAGTGGTTTATTTTAATACGCTTTGGTTAAACATTAAAATAAGTCGACTCCAGATGAGATTTTTCAATTTGAGGCCTTTATATTTATACTTTTCTTAGTTACTTTATAATCGGTGAATTGAATTTTGCTATGCTTATTTCTTTTCTCTTCCAGACCATCTGTGCTTATAAATCAAGATTCCTTTAGCGATTCTTCTGACAGTTTACAATCTCATTCACCTAAAAAGTAAGTGGGTTTTTTTCTTCTCAGCATTAACCTTCATTTTAAGCCGACTGTTGAAATTCCCAAACTATTAGCCGAAAAGATGTTTTTACATGTATTCATATTGGTCAGTGCGTCGGTAGCTCAGCGGCAGAATGCTTGCCAACCACGCCACACGTGGTCTGATCCCCTGCCGATGCACTGCTTTACCTCGCTAAGTCAGTTTTAAGACTGGTAAAGAGGGGAGGTTGAGAATGAGGCTAGCAACCTCATCCTGTAAAAGTAAATACTACTGCTACCGAAACTTTAAAGCTTTAGCTTGAAGGGGCTCTATGTTCCACTGGGAATGTGAAGGAATAAAACAAACAACATATCGGTTTACTGTAAAATTCCTTATAAAACACATTATAAAAAGAAGATATAGTAGATATCTTAACGATGCACTCGTGTAATCAAAGACAGTATCATGAAATTGCTTGTTTAATAGTATCACGCTTTTCAGTTACCAGTCCTGATAAATTTCTTTCGGCTGTCTGTTTAGTGTTTTCAGAAACACATAATAAAACTCATAATGAGTCTAACATATACAAAGAGGCTTGGGTTTCACCTGGCGGATACACCGAAAATCAGGTAGGCTTCATCTCAGCTTCAAGGAAGTGGAGACGCAGCTTTTCAGGCATAAAGTCAGGAACAAAGGCAGATCTGGGGTCAGACCATTATCTACTTCAAGGGACCTTCACCTTCAAGTTGAAAGTCTTCGAGTTCGAAATTCAGGACACGAAGGGTAGGACTACAAATGACATATTCATTGCTGGCATCACAGCAAATTCAGGGTTATTAAGTAGCATAACTGCTGAGACGGGAGAAACAAAGAAAACAATGGGTCAATCAATGCAGAAGACCACCAGCTGCAACCAGTCCTGAAATACCACCACGGGACCAAATTTAGCACTACAGAGGTGCTGAAAATGATCTCAGAAGTCACAGCATAAATGCCGACACCACTATCGTAGGAGTCATAGAACGAATAAAAGGAAACTATTGAGTGAGGGACAATTACCTTATCAGAGTGACAAGGGAAGACGTCCTAAGTCTTTGCAAGAACTGGCATCAAATCATGCTTCTGTCTACCACTTGCAAATATTGATTTTCATTGTCGAGGAGAGACTACTCAATCTTCTGGATAGAAGACCAATCCGAAACAGCCTAGATTCCGTAGAACTAAATGCTGAACTGATTAGACTGCATTACCTATGCATCGCCGTTGAACAGAACCTAGAACGGTAGTCAACTATTTACCTTAGATTTATTGAACTTAAAAAAATTCTTCGATACCATTGACCAAGAGGTAATCTTCCAACTGCGTCAACACTATGCAGTGCCAAGAAACTTTTGTGTAAACCTCATTCGACAGTTAAATGATGATGACACCTGCCAAGTATACTGATTTTTTAACGGTGAAATTATGTTTCTTCGCCTAGATTTCGTATTAAAAAAGATTTAAGCTTTTGTTTCCTTGATAATTCACTTACTTGAATAAGAATTCACTTTGATGCTGATAAGTCACATGCATATTGCTGTCTAACTGTATAACTATGAGTGTTTTTTCCCTAGACCAATAAATTCTTTAAGTGAATTTATTGGGTTATGTGTGCTTCAATAATATTATTATAGAAACAGAATACGTTTGTTTACTCTTTAATACATAAATGCATTTTTTTCGAGGTTAAATGAACGTGTAAGAATATATGCCAGAAAGTGTAGAACTCATGTGACAATCTTTTACTTGCTACTTAACCAATATAAAATACACGAAGGAATATGATAACCTTAAAGGTGTGTGTGTGTGTGAATGTGTACAAGAGCATTTGCATGCATGCAACTAGAAAACTAAGTATTTCAGCAACATATTTATTATTATTATTTTTTTCACTAGTTTCATTGACTTAATGAAGTTTATTACTTAAAATAAGGTGTTCATTGGTAAAGTAATTATCCCTTCATTCAAAATTATTTCAAGCTAATTAAGGATAGTACTCAAGTCGAATCTTGGCCTCTGAAAAAACTGGTGTAGATTAATGCTCTTGTCCGCGCCAAGTAAAATAAATAAGTCACATCATCCTGGAGAGAATAAAAGATGCACTGGATACAGAACTCCTTCTCGTCGACCAGAACAAGCAGGATTTAGGAAAGGCAAATCATTTGCTGATCATTGAGTTGCAAATCTATGCATTATCGTCATCGAACAAAGCATATAACAGCAGTCAAAGCTTTACATCAACTTTACCAGCTTCGAAAAGGTATTCACCAGACACCGTTGACTGATAAGTAATTTGAGCACTGCTTCAACAGGACAGCATGAAGTGCCTTAGTCTTTATCATATTGATTCAATATCTGGATATGTGACAATGTCACCTATCAAGTGATCTAAAAGGGAGAACTCGACGAGGCGTTCGAAGTGAATGCAGTAGTGAGACAGGGCTGTCTATTATCATCAATGATATTCTAAATTGTCGTGGACTGGATTATGCGTCAAACTTTGAACAGTGTATGGGAAGATAGGTATTCATTGGACCAATAAGACGACTGAAGCAGATCTGAATTTTGCGTGTGGATGATTCACGTTTATTATCACAAAAACTCGAAGACTTACAGGTGAATAGCAACAAACTGGCTGAAGAGGTTGGCCGGAAGCGAAGATAGGACGCCAGGTGAAGATAGAGAAGGAAGGTGATGAAGATAACCGACTAACAGCAACAACAACCACGACCAGCACCAGTCACCATCAACGGGAGAGATTTTACAAAGAAAGGTCACTGTATTCACTTATCTAGGAAGCATGGTGTCATCCCAAGTTGACGGCACGGATGAAGTTGTGAAAACGGTCTAGTTAGAATCGGAAGGGTAAGATATGCCTTTATCAACCTGAAACCAGTTCGGAAATCTTATGCACTGCACTCCGCTGAATAAACAACAAGATTCGGATTTTCAACACCACTGTCAATTTAGTCAGTCAGTCACTTCTTCTTTATGGGTCGGAGAATTGTATGAAGAGTAAGTCATGAAGAGCATTTCTCTACAGGCTACTTCAGACTTTCATCAACAGCTGACCACTTCACTGGCTCCACATTGAAGATTAGTTGGCAGGCGAGAAAGAATTGGCAGCAAGAGGCTCTGCAGTAGGAAAAGCCAACAAATTGCCGACTTCTCAGCAAATATGTATGAGAGAATGTAGATGGATAGGGCATATGTTGAGGAGACCATCGAATGACACCGCGCTGAATTCAGGCCAACCGTCGAGTGGGACTTGAATAGGAAGCAACGAGTCGGTCGACAGTGAGGGTTTGAGGTGGAGGAGATTGTGTGTCGATGAGGAAATAAGAGACTGTTGGCAGTCGTGTGCCCAGCTGGAGAGGACAGTGTAAGGTAGAAGAAAGTAGGTCTGTGTCGTTGGAGCTCTATGCTCCATTTGGAACCCAAGAGAATAATAATAATGTTCAACTTAACTGTTAACCAACAGGCCCATGATCTTACCAAAAGTTAAAAAAAGACACTACTGGCTAATTCATTGCACATGGTAGACAGGAGTCAATTTGACAAGAAGCTGAACAAATGGCATGTGGTAAAAGATGTAAGGGCTAGAACACAAGAAATTACTCCGTATCATTTCACAATTATCGTGTAACTTTGATATATCCTTTGTTTTCTGAGTGGAACATTGTACTTCATCAGTGCGTCTCCATCGCAGTCGGTTCTCTATCATGATGATGACGGAATCCTGATCACTGAATTAACAAACTATCTACTGCTTCAGTTTTTAACTGACTTGTAGTTAGGACCTTGAATATCTATTCGTTTATCAGTTTTTGTATAGTATTTAAAGGCAAATACATGGTGTCAATTAAGGTTTGAAAAGATGCGAAGTGTAGGTTCTTAATATTTGCCTAAGTTTTCCGATTCACATTACGTTACTCCGTGAAATTTTGCTTTAAAATATAGGTTATCATCCGTGGAGATGTACAAACATACTGACGATATGCCTGATCGAATGAGGATTGGTAACATTTTAGTTTAGTGAGTTTCCACATATTTAGTAACTAACGATTACCTGAACCAGTCGGGTGACTGGTAGCCTTTCAGGATAGAGATAAGATTAGCCTAGCTCCGCACTACTCACTTGGAGCTGATTAATTAGAAACAACCAGTCATGTCTACAACATTTTTTGAAATGACAACTGTAAAGCGTGCAGTTTTTGAACGTAATATATAGTAGAAGTCTCCAATTTCTAATGTGCATAAGTTGCAGAAGCCAGTTTTTATGACTGCAGAAGTAAAAATTAAACAAGGGACAATGATTAGATAACATTTAACTACATCTATGAGCTAAGGGAACTTTTAAAAAGAATTGAAGTATCTTTGACAGGTGCAAACAGAAGTGTCATAAATTAGGTCAGTAATGTTTAATAATAATATGCTGAAATGAGTATTGAATATTACTGGGCGAATTAATCGGTATCCAAACATCTACTAAACGTATATATGATGATATCAAAAGAAACATGTTAACTTCAATCATACTTCGATCAGCTCAGGCTATTCTGTTCCACCTGAATCTGTCATCTTACAGTCTGCTTTATATACTAAGTCAAATGGAGTTAATCTAAGCAGAGATGATATTCTGTTGTTCTTATCAGAATTCTAACATCAATTTATTAATGTGTCACCAATATTTTGACAGATGAGTCACCTCATAAATTTGTTTATGAGTAAAATGTGATTAAAATGTCCGCTGACAGAAATTAAAAAACCCACGGTTAGTAGATGGTATTTTTAGTAGCTTTGAATCCAAAACAAGACTAACTAACAAAATGGTTATTTCAATTACCACATATCATGCAACTTGTTATTGACTGTTAAAATGAACTATTTCTGCCTTTATGTAATTTCAGTAAGATTGATTCAAACACAGACATCCAATTAGAAATAACATCTCCACCACCAACAACAACTACCAGTGATTGTCCTGAGACTTCAACAGGCTCAGAAACCAGTGAAAGTACAGCTTGGCCAGTCAGTTATGAAGCGTTCAATGAAAACAGACGAGTTAGTGACGGCTTAGACAATCCACCAAAGACACCTAATCTAGACGAACCTAGACACAGTTTAACTATGTCATATTTAAATCCTCCAGCCAAACCAACACAAAGAGTGAGTCCTCGAGGTAGTTTTGGTGGTAGTATGGAGTTGCCAACTCCAAGTGAAAGTAAACCACAGGTTGCTGATCTTTTCTGGAATCCTAAAAGTGCTCATCACTTAGTTAATGGATCTTCAATCAATGTGAACAAGTAAGGCATTAAGTATCATGCTTCAATCAAATGCATTAACCATGATCTATTTTTTTTGAAAATTCGTCTATTTTTTTTGCAATATTTGCTCGACAAATGTATGAATTGCAGAATCCACTTGGTAATCTTACAGTCTCCTGTTGTTTGTTAACTAAGCGGCCGAGTTTCTTGGTTTTTATAGGCCTTCATATATATCTATTAGCAGGAGGGGGAGTCAAAAACGAAGAACGGGAAGTGTCCTATCTCCCACTAACAAATCTAATACCGGCTACAAACGAAACATTCATGAGCAAGAAGATATTTAGTGGAGAGTCTCCCTTCAAAGAATATGTGTCCTGGCTGTACAGTCGTATATATATATATATATATTTGTGTTTTAAAATTGTGTCCCATGAATGTCAAAACGAATAATGGTGTTATTTGCAACAAAACTTCAGTATTTATAACCATACTTAGACATTTAGTCATGACAAAATGAATTACGTAATGTGGAAACTCGTTTGTTGAATGTATAAATCTTAGAAGGGACGGGAAATGAGTAAGGCTGACAAATAAATGAATCGTCATATAACAAAGTGAAAAGTTGTCAAAATGATGTTTTATTTTAAGTTTGACCAGGGATTGATGTCAATTAGAGGACTATTAAAAATCAGGGGTGCTGGACGCTGTTACATCCTAGTTTTCAGATTCCGTACCTTCTGATTTCAAAGTTATCCCATTTGCCATTCAGTCACTAAGATTTCATCTTCCATATACTGTGAAAATGATCAACTTCTTTAAAAACAAAATATTATAATTGAAGATGATGAAATTTTCGACACTGATCTTAGTGACTTCATTAAAGCTTACTTAACTTTATAAATCTTTGGAAATGACATAAAAGGTAAGTAGTTTAGATGGATGATTTTGATGCAGTAGTTTTTTTCTGTTATAGTGTAACAACAGAAGACAAGGGCCAGACAACAGATCGTTTATTAAGGAAATCAACAGATATTTACAGATTTTCATTTACATTAATATAGATTATTGTAAGCAGAAAAACACAGCCCTCTGTTAACATTTCATCTCTTTGTGGCTGTTTCTTGAATGTCAGATCATCTATATGCTAACTGTATCCGCCTACGCAAAGTCTGGTGTGGTTGGTTTTTGAATCAGTCTTTGTTCTTATTTTTCTCATGACCAATATTGGAGACGTAGACATTGACATAAATCACTGTCTACCAAATTTTGTCTAGCAACCAGCTCTCACCACAATACCATTGGAAATGAATGAGCGACTTACTCAACTAATCAACTTCTTTGAGTGGACATTTATAAATCGATTTAAAATAGAATCTCAGTGGCTGAATGCTATAAGAGTTCAACTTAGACTCGTAAGGTCCTGTGTACGAATCCCAGTAGATACCAACTGATGAAAAGTCCCAAACTAGGAAAACCAGCTGTCCAGTACTCCCGGGTTTTCTAATGGTTCCCTAATTGATGTCAAGTCGTGATCCCACCTGCAAAGAATCAATTCTCTACAAACCACCAACATTTGATATTTAAAATCTGTGGTAAATTGGTGCCTTGTAAATAGTCGTCTCGACGTTTTAGTTATTTGACGGAAATGTTGTCATTTTTTTCACAATGCTTATTTTATATGTCAGCTTTGCGTACATACGTATGTAAATACCTATAGACTGGTCATTCGGTAACCGCGGTATAAGAAATGTGATCCTGGTTATACGACATTAACCAATCAGTGTACTCATTGCAGTCCTGTTAGCCTGACAGTCCAATGTTACTGTCACTGACTGTAACACGCGGTTCAGTTCTGTCTGCAACCAGATTCTGTCTGTCTGTCTGTTTTCAACATAGAACTTTGCATTGATGTGCGGCAGTTCGAGTCGCCACACTCCATGTAGCACGCAAAGCAACAGAAGAAAGTAGAAGAAATGCATAATAGAGACAGTAAACAGAGGTGTGAGACAAAGGAATGGTGATAACGAAGAACATAGTTTCATTGGAAACCACAAGTCACAGGAGCGGATGCATCTTCCCCGGTCATTGAGAACGATTTTGAGCCATATCACCAATTGTTTCCAGCCATTGGTTTTTACTGTCCCGAGGACCCCAACCAGGAAGTCTACAACTTCCTACGTGACTGGCTTAAAATAACTGTTGTGGATTTCATTGACTGGTGCCATGTTTTGGTTTGACCACCGCTAGCTGTTTCCCAGCCTGACCCTATATCAGCTAACATTGCCCGTCAAGGAAGTCGATGGCTATTAGTGCATGTGTAACATATGTCCTAACCATCTTTGTCGATGTAGCTCCACAGCTTCGTCGATTGATTTCCCCTGTTTACCTAGCACTCGACGCCTAACCTCAATATTGCTCACCTTATTATGCCACTTTACACGGGAGATCGAGCGCAGGCTTCTATGATCAAAGACAGCTAATCTTTTCATATCTTCCACTCTTAATGGTCAGGTCTTACAGCTAGCCATATAGAAGGACGGAGCGGACTGATGAGCAGTACACACGCCCTATTCCAAGCAGATCGTATATACACACTCCAAGTTAGAGAACCACTGAAAAGCAGGGAGTACTGGACAGCTGTTTCGTTCTAGTGTGGGACTTATCAGCTTTACACATCCATGAGGGTTCGAAATCCAAGTATATATATATACATGTATTAATTTTAATTATGACTTTTAATTAATTTTAATCTTTTAATTATATTTATTCTTTCAGAGAAAATAGTAAATAATCAAATATTAGAATTTAAACATTTCACTGTCAAACAGTTAAACAAACGAAGTGAAGTTTTTAAATTTACAACGCCAACAACAACACCAATAGCGACATATTATCTATCTCACTTTCAATACAATCAATTACACCCCATGAATCATTGATTAGTGTTCAGTGTAATGCAAGAATAACTAGACACTGAGTGGGATAATAAACTCTCAGCCACATGCTACATATATTACTCTTTTTGGTGTGTTTTGTTTTAATGTTATATGACTAAGACAAATAATAATAATAATAATGAGTTAAGCATAGGAAACACAGATTTCTAATGATAACATGTGATCATTTTTTGTATTACGCGCACATTCATTGTATAAAAATAATCAACACTGATCTCATAACTGTGCTACTTACTACTATTTTCCATCAGTTTGTTATTTCTCAGTTGTTTTTATACATGCCCAAGATTTATTACCCTTATTGGTATTATTCGTAATTATTCTATTGTCTTCATTCTACAGCAATGTCAATCCCTTAACACTGATCCCACTACCTATTACGTAAGCTAGTTATTCGATCATATGCTTCTATACATATATATTGAAAAACAAATGACTGTTTCCTAATTACCATCACATTGTATAAATAAAACAAAAAAGATAGATGATTAATGTCGCAGTTTTTACTTCATCTCCTGTCTCCAGTATTGATCATTGTACATTTATATGGAATAATATTGTTGATGGTGAATACCAGTCTTTTCTCAATTTCTGCTTTCATTTCACCAACTGGTTATTGGTTGTTTGTTATTTGTTAGCTGAAAATAAACACAATGCGAGAGAGAGAGAGAGAGAATTTGCCTTTTTTTTATTAATTAGCTACTCAATTTGTATTTCTCCTTTTTTAAAATTATAATCGAAGTGTCTTAAAGAAGACATTTCATATTATATATACATATATATGCTTAAGTTATGAATACTTCTTACAATTGCAAGAAACATGATCCATTATTCTCATATTGAAATAATAGAGAAAGCAAAAGAAAGCTATCTGTGTACTATTGTGTAGATTCTGTTTTGTTATATTTCTAAGAAATCATTTCCTTTCCTTTGGCTTTCATTTTACTGACTTCCGCTTTCCAGTCCTATTCTATTCCAGTTTGTACATTTCGATATATTATTGATGTTTTTTGTTGTTGTTGCTGTTATTCTTGATTTATTTTAGTTCTTGAATTTTGCAGACTTTTATTATACTACATAAAAAGGAAGAGAATAAAACAGTATTACTTTCAAAAGTGTTACTTTACAATGGAAAGGATTGATTTGAAGTTGGATCAGTTCAAAGAACCACTAAAAAAAACCAAGGAGTACTAGACAAGTGTTTTATCTAAGTTCTGAACCTTTTAAGACACTGGAAGTCGAACCCAGGAACTGTAAGATGTGAGATTAGTCTGTTGATGACCATTCAGCCAATGTGATAGGATTTGATGGTTGTAAATTCACGATGTATAGCGCTACCACAGAGCAATGTCACCAGGAGTCATCATGCTTAGTAGACCCGTATGGTTAGCAATTCTCACTGACACTCCAGACATTGTATCACATAATTGATCCCTGATAGGTATTCGGCTAGTTTTTTTCAAGTATCGGTTTTCAGAGATTTAAATGATATCAAGTTACTTTCACTGTTTCAAATTGTTTTTGGTTACCTTATTACATACAATAAAAATTTCAAAAATACAAAAATATAAAGCGCAAGCTTATTCTTCGCTGGAATCGTAGATGCAAAATGACACAGTGGGTTGGTGAAAGCCTATGAGAAGCTATTCATCCAGTCAATGTGTCTTCTGTCGATGAAATCAAGAATGTCCGTACAATGTACGAGGCTGGCTGGCAGCCAAAGAGGTGAGAATACATGCCATAGAAGTGGTGGGTATCTGCGAGAGCGGATTGTGAATGGATGTGGACAATCGAAGTTATCAGCTGGCGTGTCAGTATTCTGCTGTGGTCACCTAGATGACAACCACGAAAATACTGAGGGAGTAGCTACTATGATGTCACCAGAGCCCTAATGCAGTGGGAACAAATTTCATCCGGGACCATGACAGTAAGATTAAACTCAAAAGGAAGGAAGGTTACAATTACCCAATGCTACGTGCAGTGCTACAAACAACGGGGAAAAAGAGAAGAAAGAAGGTTTTTACAGACAACCACAAACAGTAATGGACAACATCACAAATAGTGACATTGAAATCCTCATGGGCTGTATGAGAGCCAGCCAAGCTGGTAGCAGATAAAACAGAAACAGAACTCATCATGGGTCCAGAGGCTCTCGCTGGGCGAAATGAGTGAGAACGGAGAATTATTCGCATACTTCTGCTTTTTCAATGATTTGGTAATCAGAGAAGGCGTGTGCAAACACAAGGATATACACAAAGCAACATGGATTTCGCCTGAGAGACATACTATAAACCATATAGATTTCAGCTCAGTGCTGCTTAAGAAAGTGGAAACGCAACTTTCTGGGAACAAACTCGAGAAGGGGAGTAGATGTGGGCTCAGACGATTATCTTGTTCAAAGAACCTTCAAGATGAGGCTGAAATCCATGAAAACAATTGGAGACGGACCACAATTCAAGTTTAAAATTCAGAAACTGAAGGACAAATTTTCAAGGGATGCCTTCACTACTGATCAGATTAGGTCAGAGCGAAATCGGATACACTACGTGATATCACTGAGGAAACCTTTGTGGAAGAACATTGAAATTCTCTGAAGGCAGTATTCAAGGAAACGTGTAAAACTCCTCTGGGAAGAAAGAAGAGACCAGTCAAGACGAGAAATTTCTGTCAACGGACACCTACATGGAAGCTAATGGAAGAGAGGAGAGGAGGTTGGTGGAAGAGTATGGTAATGACTAAATGCAAAAATGGACAAGAGAAGGAGAATCTGAGTTCAGTGTACACTGAACTGAATAAAGAATTGAAGGAGACGAGACAAGAGACAATTCTACGACACACTGGCCGGCAAGTGAAACAGAACAGACAAGCAGGCCACAGTTAAAAGAGACCTCAGGACAGTATATCAGATAACCAAGTCTCTATCCGGGAAGAGATCAATCCAGGTAGTGAAACCAATAAAAGATGCTCAGGGGAACCTAACTACTGAAAAGGAGAGACAAATAAAACAATGGGATGATCACTTTAGAGGACTCTTGAATCGACCATCAACAGCATCTCGCCCAGAAACACCACCACCACGGACACGACGCACAAAACTGTCCAATGGACACCGATCCTCCAGCGAAAGCAGAAATTCTGAATACTATGAAGCTACTGAAGTCCGGAAAGGCAGCGGGACCAAGCGGAATCCTCTCACCCCGAAGCTCTGAAGACGGACCCAGAGACTGCGGCAAATGTTCTCACGTCATTATTGTGAAAGGTTTTGAAGGGAGGAAAAGTACCTACCGATTAGAATAAAGGTTACCTCGCCAAGCTGCCAAATAAGGGTGAATTAGGGCTGTACAAGAATCGGTGTGGAATAATGCTCTTGTCCACGCTAAGCAAAATACTAAGTCATATCATCCAGGAGAGAATAAAAGATTCACTGGATACACAACTACACCACAACCAATAGAACAAGCTGGATTCAGGAAAGGCAATTTATGTGCTGATCATCGAGTTGCGACTCTATGCATCGTCATCATCATCATCATCATCACAAAGAAAAACCATGGAATGGCAAACAAACCTCTACCTCAACTTCATTGACTTCGAAAATGCCTCCGACAGCGTTTATCAAGATATAATTTCGAAACTACTTCAACATTATGGAGTACAGTGCCCAAATCGTTACCAACTTCATTCAACAGCTATATGAAAATGACATAAGTAAGGTGATCCAAAAAGGAAAACTCAGCAAGACGTTTGAAGTGAATACAGGAGTAAGACAAGCTGGGTGCCTATAATCACTGATGATATTCTTAGATATGGTGGACTGGATTATGCGTTAGACTGTGAGTGATGAATGCAAAGATAGGAATACGCTGGAAAACCGATAATGAGATTTTAAAAGATCTGGATTTCACACGTGGATGACTATTATTTAATGTTGGACAAACTCGAAGACTTGCAGGTGACAACCAACAACACTGGCAGAAGAGGTTGATGGGCAGCGAAGACAGGACTGAATGTGAACATAGAGAAGACGGAGGTAATGAAGATAATCAACCAGCCAACAGGAAAATCAATAACAATCAGCATCAAACACTACCAACAGGGGTGATTTGACAGAGGTCACTTTATTCTCTTATCTAGGAGGCACAGTTTTAACCACAGACAACAGCACGGAAGATAATGACAAAGCAGGCCAGAGAGAATCGGAAATGCAAGGTACGCCTTCATAAAGCTGAAAATAGTTTGAAAATTTTCTACACTCAGCCACCATAAACAAGAAGATTCGAATTTTCAACAACAATGTGGTCAATTCTTCTATATGGGTCAGAAACTTGACTAGCGCGTCACAAAAAGGATTTTTAACAGGTTGCACACTTCATCGGCAGCTGCCTTCCCTGGCTCTGTCCTGAAAATCAAACGGTCATAAAGAACTATTAACAAGAAACTGTGGGAACAAATTAGCAAAGAGCTGATCGCTCAACAAAAATGTAGGAGAGAGTGGAGATGGATCGGGTGTACATTGAGGAGACCGCGGAATGACATCGCTCGGCAGGGCCTCGAATGAAATCTGAATGGAAGCTACGAATAGGTAGTCTTAAGGTGACAGCGTAGAATAGAAGAAAGTATGTATTGTTGAAACTGTGTGTTCCCCTGGCAACCCGAAGGAACAATAATAATAATAAAAATTTATAAGAGTTATTAATTGCTGTCGATCAGTTTTAGTCTGTTGGTTCAACAGTAGTTTTTTTGAATTGAAAAAACCATAAAGTAACCAAGCCCTTGGTTTTTCATGCAGTTGAAGACAAAATTTCCTAAAGCATATGGAAATTCATACATTTGA